GGGGGGGGGGGGGATCTGTATCAGGGACCTCAGAGCCACTGTATCTGCAGAGCTAAAATGCAAACCAGCAGCCACATCCGTCCCTCCCCTCTGAGAAGGTTGTCCTGGAAACGGGATTCCCCCCTCCGGTAGGCTGCTCCACATTTATGCAACAGGAAACACAGACACAGCCCTGGGCTCCAGGCTGGACACTGGTACCTTCTCCCCAGGGGCTTTCTTTAGAAAGCCTTCTCCCGTATGGAGAGATTCATTCCTGCCTCAAGCACCTGCAACAGGTGTCTTCCCCAGGGGGTCCCCTGAGATGGGACAGAACAAACTTGCCTGAAGTCCAGGGGAAGGGGCACTACCCGGATCCACCCGGGAGTAAGGACTAGCAAGGGGGCCAACGAGTACAGACTTCAGCCCCCACACGTCCCAGACACGAGCAAACAGGTCCCCGGGACCACCTGGCCCGTCACAGACACCACGCAGGAGTTAAAGTGGCCTGAAAGAGGACGTGACTTGCCCGGGGGCACGGGAGAGAGACCCTCAGGTGGCCAGTCCACCTGGCATGCTGGTTAAGAAGGACTGGAGATGCCAGCCCAATCTGTTTTCCCACGTCCTCATTACCAGAGCCCTTTCAGGCCCCAACGCTCACTGGGCTCGCAGAATGGAGATGCTCCGGTCTTGCTGGCAGGTGGCCCCACAGACGGATCCCTTAGTAACCAGTGGATGAAGATGTGGCTTCCAAAGTGGGAGCCAGGTGGGCCTAGAGGACCAGGGGAGCTAGGCAGGGACCACAGGGGCTGGCTCCCGGGGCCCAGAACCCCAGACAGCGGGGCCAAAGAGCAGCTGAGGAGGCAAGGCTGCCGCGCCCCGGGGCAGGGCTCCCAGGCAGGGCTCCGTGGGGCCCACTCTGGGCATTCCCGCTCTGCTCCGCGGCTGCCCTCCGTAGCCTCCGTAGCCTCGCTGTTGCTCTGGGCGACGAGCCAGAGGTCCCTCCAGAGCAGAGTCCTCCCCCTGAACTGGGCCTGGCGTGTGGGAAATCACAGGGAGGCCTGAGTTTGCTCTGTCACCCCAAGTCATCAGCCTCCTGCCACCACCTTTCCCAGGGATCGGGGAGGTAATTCACCGCATTTCAAAAAAGCCCAGCAGGCCTGGAGCCTCCTTCAGGCTCCAAATGTCCCCAGGGTGTGAGGGTTTGACTTTGTCCGTCCTTCTCCCTTCTGTGCAAATGTAAATCTGAGCCACACCTCATTGAGGGCCCTGGGACCCAAAGTAAGAGAGTGACAATTTAGAGGGAAGGTGTGTGTGTGTGTGGATGTGTGTGTGGGTGTGTGTGTGTGTGTGTGTGCAGGAAAGACCATGGGAGAGAGGCTTTGGTGACACTTTTGGCCACTCCTGTCTGCTCAGCCTTACCTTGCCCCAGCAATGGCAGGGAGGGGTCATCAGAGCTAGTATCACAGTAATCATTACCATCCTCCAGCTCACTGCTGACCGTGTTGCCATTTGCAATGGTCTTTTGTTTGATGGTGAAAAAGGCCTGCATTTTCACATTGTACCTGGAAGCGAAGGCAGGAGGTCAGAGCCGCGGGAGACACCTGGCAGGAGTTGGGGGGGGGGGCCCTCCCGCCGCCCCTGTGCACACACAGTCACACCCGGCCCCGGGAGTGTCCCAGGGGCAAGGGGGAGCCAAAGGCTTTCATCTGAGCTGACAGTCCCGACAGGACCCCTAGAATAACGCGTGGTCGGAGGGCTTGCTCCACTGAGCCGTCAGTGGGCTCCTGGGGGCGTAAGGAATCTTCAGTTCCAAGAACATGACTGACGCCTACTTAGACAAGTCCAAATCTTGTCCTCATAAGAGAAGTTCAGGTCAGCCTGAAGGACAGGCTCCAAGGAGCTGTCACCAGGCTGTCCTCCCAACATAGGAGTCCCAACAGAGGAGTCCCACTCCTATGGGCTGCCCGGCGGGCCATCCCTGAATCACTCACAGCCAGGCCCAGAGAAGACACTGTCTCTGTCTCAGACCCCAGGCTTCCCCGCCTCACTGGAAGGTGCTCAGAGAGGAGTTCACCTGAGGACAAGCCTCCTGCACTTGACAGTTTATCACCCGTTTTTACAACACATTATACATGTTTGATATAAACGTGGAGATTCATAATGTCGTAAAGCTCAGTGTTGTTTTTAATTATTTCTGGAGGTGTGAACAAGAAGGTAAAACCTGAAGATGATGATTCAGCTCCTGGGTAGTTTTTCCTTTTTTTTTTAATGTGGCAAAACATAGGCAACATCAAATTTGCTACTTTAACTTTTTCTATTTTTAAGCATACAATTCACTGCCATTCATTACACTCACAATGTTGTGTAACCATCACATCACCATTATTTACTTCCCAAAATGGTTTCAGCATCTCCAACAATTTTGTGCCTGTTCATCAATTAGTAATCACTCCCTCCCCCACACCCCTGGTAATCTCGAATTTACTCTCTCTCTCTGAATTGGGACTCTCCTAGGGTATCTCGCAGAAGTGGAATCATCCAGTATTTGTCCTCCTGTGACTGGCTCCTCTCACTTAGCATGTTTTTAAGGCTCATCCACGTTGTCACATGTGACACCACTTCCTCCCTTTTTTATGGCTGAATAATATTCCTCACGGGCAGTTCTGAGAGCACTCTGACCCAGGCAGCTTCAAAGGGCTGCAAAAGCATCGCACGACCTGGGACCCAGTGTTTGCATTTTCGTTGCTGTGAGTGGTGTCCCCAGAAGTTGTGCAAGGCAGCGGCCGTGACAGATGGCACTGGATAAAGCCTGGAGCAGAAGTGAGGCCGCCCGGCTCTTCAAAAAAGAGCGGTGTGAAACTATCAGGAGATTTACAGTGACAGCGGAAAAGAGCGGCCACTCGGGCACGGAGAAATCAGCACGGAGCAGGAAGAGGGCTTGCTTGCTACCTGTTTGCGAGCAGCCTCATCTGCAACCCACCAGCCGCGACTCCCCCGGCCCGGGTTTGCACAGCACCCCAAAACAGTATCTGAACACCTCACCCCAGAGGGGCATCCTCCAGAGAAGCGGGGCCGGCTGGAAGTCACGGGGAGGTCTATCAGTTAGTTTTGTCCGGGCTCTAACGAAAGGCCAGAGCAGGAAACGGAGTAAGGCAACAGACTGCCCCAGAGAAGGAGACAGAAGGTACTTACTTCATGATCAGAATGTAAAACACGTACAAGATGATGAGCACCAGGCCTTCCCACCTCAAAGAGAGAAAGGAGACTGGTTAGGGCTGGGGAGGCCCGCAGCACTGAGGCCTGGGGGTGACTGGCAGAGGGGGCGGGGAGGGGGCAGGGCCGGAAGTCCTATGATCCTGCCTGGCCCTGGAGCCCGGCCCAGAACTCCGGCATCCAGGGGCGTCTTCCCCAGCCTGTCCTACAATCTGAAGCCCTCTTGGGGACACATAAGGCTGACGGTGGGCTCTTCTCAACTACAGGGGGCCTGCAGGGCTCAGGCAGAGTCCCATCAGCTATGGAGAAAAAGGAGGGACCAGGGCCACCACATCGCAGGACTCACAGAGGAGAGTGACCATAGTCATGCTGACTTGATGCTTAAGAGACCCTATGCTCACCAGAGATTCCGACCAGGGACCAGAAAGGCTGTTGGTACAGAAGGGGCCCTAAGAACTGCCCGAAGAGAGGGGCCGGTACAGGAGCCTCCTGGGCTGAACACAGGGGCGGGGCAAGGGTCTTCGGGTATGTACACCACTGCCGTCTAGATGATGCAGCACTCAACCCCACGCGTGGTGGGGATCTGTAGCTCAGACCACAAGCCTCTGAGGAGCCACACGCCTTAATCTGTTTGGTAATCCGACAGCTGCATTCTGAAGACCTACTGTGTGCTAGGTATAAGGTACGATTGGTTTGGGAGCTCTTCCTCTACTGTCAGAGCCCACAGACCAGCAGAGCCACAGAGAGATTTGTAGATGACCCCACTGCCACCACCCTTGACCCCATCAAGGAACAGGAGAGCCCAGATGAGGCGTGGCTTCCTGGCTCACATAGTGGGTTAGGGGCTGGGTGGGGGCCAAAAGCAGGCTTCTATGGGCCCAGAGCACATGGCTGCTCACGTCAGCCAGCTGACTGTCCTCAGCCAGGCCTCCTGAGTACAGCCCCACAAATAAACACAGAGGATGTGGACTCTGAATCACTGTCATAAAGAGATCATGTCTACGGCTTATGAACGTATGATACACTCATGCCCTATAGGGCGAATACACCAATCTTTCCTTTAAAGTTTCTGCTTTATGGATCTGAACTAAGGAGTCATTTCCTATCTCAAGGTCATAATGGTGAGTCCCTATATTTTATTCTATTTTGTTTAATTTTCCTTTTTACAGTGAGATCCTTAATTCAGAATCTATTCCTGTATAAGGTGTGAGGGAGGGATCCGATGTGATTCTGTTCTGTAATAGGGTTCCCAGTTTTGCCAGCAGCGTCTGAGACCCTCTCCCTAACTCACTGTCTGTCATGACAGCTGTCATATTTCCCCAGCCAAGAAATGGGCCCACTACTGGGTTCTTGGTTCCATATTCCATATTGGCCTACGCTTACCCCGGTGTAAAACACCACACTGTTTTCGTTACTTTAGCTTTAAATATATTTTGTTATTTGGCAGTGCAGGAACACTGAGGGATTCTTTGTCACTTTGAAAGAACAAAGGTGTGATTGCTTCAAACGGCGCCCTTTTTGCAAGTTCAAAAGCTCATGTTTGTAAAAATAATTTCAAAAAAGATTCAATGAACCCAATGAGGAAGAATACTACCAAAAAAGGAACAAGAAACAAACTTCAAACTTACCACACGATTTCTTCGTCATATATGAACTGGAAGGCAAAAGAAACAAAGGGTGGGGGACTTATTTATTCCAAAAGAACACACACAGGTCCCTACACACTCCGAGCTCACATATCATTGCCTTGTTATTTCTACACAAAGCTGGGCTCCTGTCTCCATTTCTGGGTTTCTCAACAGGAGGAGGTGACCTTAGACCTTAGTCGAAACCTAGACCAGAAGATGCCAGACTATGCAGCTCAGCTCAGCCTCCCAAGAGAAATGGCCTGTGCTTCATGACGGTCCGAGTAGCTGTTGGGGCCAACCTGCCATCACTAAGGGCACAGCCTTGCTGGAATCAACACTCTTAAAAACTAAAAGGACACCTGCCTGTCTACCTACAAACCTATGTACCTACCTATCCGGGGGACTCGTGTGTATGGGAGGGAAGGGATATCATTTTCTTAAAATAGAAAAGCGACCCCTTTGGAAATTCTGAGGGCAAAGGACCCACTTGTGCTATTTGAAGGGAGGCCAGGGGTGATGGTGCGGTCATGATGATTTCTGAAGAGGCCACTGACATTGCCCAACAACTCCACCAAGCATCTCTGGCACAGACCCAGATGAATGACACCTCTGTGGTCCAGGCCCAGTGTGGACAGGCAGGTGGAGGGGCTGTGGCCACCAACTGATCTTGGAGACATAGGGTCCCCACACCAGATGCCAGAAGAAGCCAGGGGGCTGCTGTCTGGACTTGGGCCCGTTGTGACCCTCTTCTGGTTGTCATGGCAGGCGTCACACACAGAAGCTGCTGTAGGGGCCACTTCTGAGAGAGTCATTCCTGGCCAGGCATCGCTGTGAGGCTCCCCAAACACAAGGCTCCGAGGCAAGGGTGCTCAAGTGCCCTTGTGCCCAGTGCCCTCCCCCGCCAGAACGTGAGAACACTTGTGGGGGATATTTTTAGTTTTTTACAACCCCATGAAAGGTTACTGGCATTTAGCCCAGGGTGCTGACCAGTCTAGAACCTGTGAGCTCTTTCTCTCAGAAGGGGTTTTCCACATTTGGCACACGTCCTATTTAAAAGGTCTTGCTAAACATTCAGGCAAACGGGGAAAACAAAACCAAACAAATCTGAGCCCAGAACTGAACGCTATTTTATAAATCAAAGTACTTATACTTTTTTAAATTACGTATTTAATAAATATTTAATTTTCTAGTGAGGTAGCTATCATGTAAATGGAGGGATGATTGTACTTGGGCTCCGCCCACGATTTCATCAGGAGTCATTCCTAATTTTGGAAACTCACGTCGTCAATGTCAGGAATGCTCGCGGGGTCTAAGGCTCCAGCCCAGCACGGCCTCAGTCTGTGCTGGTGGTTTCTGGGCTCAGAGATTTTTTCCTTTATGGGACAACGGATTCCACCATTCAGTGCTGTAGTGTCTTTGTGCCCAGACATTTACACACTGAAGGATGTTTTCGTCTTTTATACTTTGAACATCACGTTGATTCTTTTCTACAACTGTGTATGTACAGGTCAATGATTTTTATCTGTAACTTTCATTTTGGGGGGTGTAGGAGGCTGGGGTCTCAGTAACCCCCTGCCTGACATTCACGCCACCCCTGGACATGTGGCCTGGACCCAGGGACTGGCTCCTCATAAAGAGAACATGGCAAAAGTGAGGAGCTGTCACCTCCAAGATTAGGTTATGGGCAGAACGGGCTTCCGCCCTGGTACCTTCTCACCCTCCCTCTGAAGGAAGCCAGTTACCCTGTTGTGAGCTGTGCTGCGGAACAGCCAGCCAAGCGGGATCGGAGGCCTATCCACAGCCACGTGAGTGACCCCGAAAGTGGATCCTCCCCCAGGGGAGCCCCGTACCAGGGCCAACACCCGTGAGAAACCCTGAACCAGAGGGCTCGGTAAGCCACTCCCAGACTCTGATCCACAGACAACAAGAGTGATCAATACTTGCTATTTCAAGCTATTGACCTGGGGGGGGATTGGGTACCCAGCCACAGACAGTACGAGGGATGTGACTGTCCTTTCCAGGTGGCTCTAGGTGGTGTAAGGTTGAGAACTGTGTCTGGGGGGAGCACATTCCAGTCAATCTGGGCACACCACGTGCACCTGCCCCCATGCCACCACTTGGATCGAAACAGCTCCCTTGTTGGATGGTGCACTCCTCAGCAGTAGCCGGTGTCCTGTGCCATGAAGGCACCCTGGTCCTCGGGAGACTGCGGGGATATCGCCCCTCGCTTTCCACGCTACCAGACTCTAGAAATCACTGTTCCAGCTCTTCCGGCTTTTCTCCCTGGTGCCCCGGCTTCCCACTCTGCCTGCCCCCAGCCTGCTTCTCTCCTTCCTGCTCTGCAGTGAGCTGTGAACCCAGAAACTCTAATTCTCAGGAACCCCGGCGCTGCGTGAGGATCCGAGGGCCCGATGAGCGAAGGGCTTGAACTTAACTGCGTGGACCGTGTGACCACGCTCTGACTTTTCCAAGGCCTTTTCGAATCCAAGGTGGGCCCGGGATGTGCTCCATCACCAAGGTGTCGGGTAGGAGGCTTTCAGGCAAGGGAGGCACAGCAGGGAGGGGACTGGTCACTTTGACTACAGTGAATGGTCAGCACAGCCCACGGTTGGGGTGCCCTGGGTCCTCTGGTTATAGTGCCAGGGACAGAGATGGGCAGGGGTCATGTGCCTGCACAGGGGCAGGAAGGAAACTCACGGCAATGAGCACGATGACAGAGAGGGTGTAGTACACGGAGTCTCGGCACACGGCCCACCATGTCAGACGGACCACCTGCCAAGCAAAGGGCCGTCAGCGGCTAGTGGCTGGAGAGATGGGGGCGGTGGTGTGAGGGTGGCTTTCTCACCACCCCCAGACCCCCACAGGTGCAGGGACATGCCCAGGGAGCAACTCCTAACCGTGCCACCCGAAACCCATCTTTCCTGGCTGCTCAAGGCCACCCTGTGTTTTTCATTATACGTGGGGAACAGAACAGAAAGCACGGAATGTTTATAAGTGACGGCAAAGCTGCCCTCTGTTCCTCCAAGGTAACAGACATCTCAGGCTTCACAGCGGAAGCCCAGGGTCAAGGCAGAGGCCAGAGGCACTTGCTTCCCCTGTGATTCTGGAACCTCCTGGTAGTAACTAGCTGCCCATCTCTACCTCCATTGGCCAGGCAGGGCCTAATCATGAGCCCAAGTCTCTGGGGTTGAGTCTAACACCCACGTGGCCCTGAGGACCAGGGAGATGCTGATGGGGTACCAACCGCAGGCCAACGTCATGCTCCTTGCCAAGGAGGCCAAAGCAGGTTTCAGATATTTCCAGAATCTAGCTCAGGGTCAGGGTTACAGGAGGCGCCTCTCAAAGATGTCCTGCTGTTGAATGAATGCTCACCCTTGGGCTGGCCAAGGGAGCAGACCCCGTCCCTGCTCTCAGATCCACTGAGGCTGGATGTGCAAGGAACATCAGAGGCCACTTGTACACATGAGGACCTGGGCTTGGAGGGGGAAGCCAACTTGCCTGCAGCCTCGGGCAATTGAGGGCACAACTAAGGTGAGGCCTCGGGTCCCCCCACTGCTGTCCCTTATGTCACTCTACAAAGGGAGAAAAACACCGACCTGCCCCGCAAATAATCCACAGACTCCAATGATACACAGGATGTTAAACACCGCAGAGCCCACAATGGTCCCAACCCCAACGTCTCCGTGGGTGATGAACACGCCTGGAAGGGAAAGGCAGAAATCCTCTTGTGCGTACACTTCCTCAGACCCAGGCTGCTGCGAGGCCCTTGTCCCCAACCCCATGGACTGAGGGACTGGTTCTAGGACGCCCATGATGCTGACAACGGCCAAACCAGAGAGGAGGAAGTATCCTGAGGGACCACCTACTCCACTCTTCCC